TACCTCGGTGTTCTCGAGTTAAAGGGAGGACCCAGTGTGGCCGGTATAAAAACAAGCCAAAACTTCTCATTCGTCGGTAAACACTTCGCATGCCAATAGGTCTTCCGTGTTCTGCAAACCATTCATTTGCAATGGACCTGGTAGTGGAGAAACGGTCCCTTAAGGCCAATAATCTTAGGCGGCGATCTTCACGGTCTGTTGTTCTACGGCGGCGTCCAGTGGCCCTTGTTCTTTGCGTACGGCCTTCTCGAAGCCATGCCTGACAACACCTAACCACAGTGACTACACTTCTTTGCACTGCAATTGCCCGAAAAGAAAGTCCAGCTTCCTGAAGTCCCACTATACGGCCCCTATCAAACTCACTAAGTTGACGAAATCGTACAGGTCTCCATACTCTAGGCATCGTAACCGATTGTACAGGATGTCAAGAACCAAAATCCGCCAACGTTGATTCTTTACTGCGGCTGAAATATTCATTTTTAGAGCGTTAGTGAATTAAAAAAAAGCAGTATAAAAACCGGAATGTCCAACTGATAAGGCTGAAAATTTTTTCACTTGTTATTTACAGTAAGATAAATACATTCACCAACTTTTATTAAAATAAAACCATTTAAACTGGGTGTTCGCATTTATATGTCACTTAGTATACTTATAGTGCCTAAAAGAAGAATCTACCTGCGTAAGTTCAGTTGACCCCCAAGACATGAGCCTGCTATCTTAAAGACCTCCCTCACCGGCACGCCATCCATTCAACCATCTTCAGGCACCAGATGTCATTGACTTCACGATATCTAAAAACTGTTTATACAGTATCTCGTCTCGAATCTTGTGATATCTATAGTGATCATCTACCTGTTGTCTTGGATGTGGGCAATGAGCAAACTTCTGAGGAGGAAGCTCCTCCAAGAAAACGTATTGATTTGGAGCTATACAAGTTGTTCTTTAGAGAGTTTCCCAATATCCCGATCATAGATGATGAGACTGGAGATGCCGCTCAGGCGGAGTGGACAAGTTTCATTTAAACAGCTCTACAGCGTGCAGCTGTTCTTCCTCTACAACGACACGGCAGACCTTTTTTGCCTGCGGACATTCGTCAAAAAATATCCGACAAGAGAGCCGCTATTAAGCAGTCAAAAAGATCTTGCCATCCTGATGACATTTGTAGATCTACGAATCTTGTCCATGAGGTGAAAAACGCGCTCCATGAATTCCGTAATGAGCAATGGAGCGCCTTTCTGGAGGTCTCAAAAACGGAAAGCGAGAACAACTTCCGCACATCCACGGTCCTGAAGGCATAGACTTCAGAACAGAGGATACGGTCGAGGTTTTCGCTGACACCATGGAAAAACAGTTCTCTCCCAACTGTGATCTCGATAATGACCTCGATGAGGAACAGCACATCGTACGATCCGTCAGGAGATATTTTAGGGCCAACGGCGTTAGCGGAGGCATTAAATCCTCTTCAGAAGATTCTTCTGAGGCTCCACATAGCACATTAGCGGAACCCTCCGAGGTTCCACATTGCACTCCAGCGGAGCTCCTGCATCTTATTAAAGACCTCACGGTGCGTAAAGTACCTGGGGAGGATCAAATCACCAGCAACGCGCTGAAGCTCCTCTCGCCGAAAGCTCAATAATAATAATAATCAATGCGATGCTCAAACCCCGGCACTTCGCTGCGGGGTGGAAGACTGCTGAGATCATCATGATTCCAAAGAAGGTGGGTTCGATATTTCCTCAGTATTACCGTCCCATTAGTCTGCTGTCAGCTCCTTCTAAGCTGGCCGAAAAGGTGATTTATCGCCATCATCATAGGGTTCATCCTCAGCGTGAGTACTGGCATCTTGCTTTTGGACGTCTCAAAAGCCTTTGACAAGGTGTGGCACGCGGGCCTCGTTTATAAACTAATCCAAAAGGGTTTTCCTGTTTGGCTTCTAAAATTACTAAAATACTTTCTTGAAGGAAGGAAGTTTCGGATCACAATTAACAATGTTTTGTCAACAACACGGCCAGTACGGGCCTAATCATTATATTCGCTTTTTATCTATGATGACCCTTGCCCCAGCAACTGTGAAGTCTACCTCTATGCTGACGACGCTGCACTTGTCGCCCAGTCGTGTGCTGGTGATCCGGTTCACGATGGGTTGCAGATTGCGGTGGAATAAGTACTAGAGTGGGCGAGTGGAGAGTCAGGACGGGCATTTTCGCGCAACGTGTTTCTGTGAGTGGTGCAAGCCGAAAATGCAGCGTTCGTTAGAGCGGAGGTACGCGATTAAATTCTGAGTGAACGTTTTTAAAGAATTGTAACGATTGGCTCAATAAATTTTTTTAAATCGACTCAGTCCTATTACTTTCCGGACGAACCCTGTACTATAGCTAGAATGCAATGCATAGGTGCATAGTGAGGATCTATGTGCTAATAATAATTTGATTGGATACTTGTCTCAAATACACTTGCATTTCTTCATTAAAAAAATTCGATAAATATTTTGTGCCAAAACTGTCATGACATACGTTAGTGTTTATTTTGTATACAACTTTGTTAATCATTGTTTAGTTTTGCCATTTTATCCAAACTTGTGACAAATATTAATTTAACCTACCGCCTTTTTTAAGACAAGAAAGCAACATCTTTTTCTCCTTCCAGGGACTTCGTCTGATTTTACACTGATCAACAGCCAAAAAATATCCTAAACAAAATATTACTATTTTTAATGTGCTAAAACCGGAATGAAACTTATTTTTTCAATATTAGTTCAAGTTTTAGAGATACGGTAATTATATGTGTTCCTGCTGTGACAGTGTTAAGATACTGTAATTCACATGAATGCACGTGCTACATTTTTATATTCGGCAAGGAAAGATGATGTAATCGGCATGATTGTGTTACGTTATACATACGTGTACATTATATTGTTTTATATTAGCCATTTTTTCCTCAGTTGGCTGACAGCGTTCATGCAAGATGTCTCGAAAGTGTGTAAACAATCCAGATCAGTTTTGTTACGTGTGTGGTGATGTGACTTTTGCGTCTCGGAGACGGTCTGTTACTCCACTAATAACAAAGGCATTTCAGCTTTATTTCGGTTGTAAACTAGGTGATCAAGACAAACAGTGGGCACCCCACATCTGCTGTAATACATGTGCTTCAAGTCTGAGGAGCTGGTTAAATGGCAAAAAACGGTCTATGCGCTTTGCTGTCCCAATGGTTTGGAGAGAGCCTACAAATCATATTAATGATTGTTACTTTTGCATGGTACCTTGTGTTGGACAAGCCACAGGTATATCCAAGAAAAAAAAATCGGTTATTAACTACCCAAACATATCATCTGCGATGAGACCTGTGCCTCACAGTGAGGAAAATCCTATTCCAAAACCCCCAGAATCCTACACTTGGGAATCAGAAAACGAATCAGATCATGGCGATCGAGTGATTCGTCAGGAAGAAGATATGCCATCAACGTCAAGAGATCCTGATTTTATACCGAGCACGTCATACCACCAACCGCACAAAATAACACAGTCAGAATTAAATGACCTTGTAAGAGATTTAGAACTTCCAAAATGTAAGGCAGTGGAACTTGTTAGAAGACGATGTTTCGGTATGTGTTTTTCGTAAACGCCACATAGACCATTTTTCAATATGGAGAATAACTTGGTTTTCTGCAGTAACTGCTTACTGGCGGCTTTAAATATAAACTATAACCCAGAAGAATGGAGATTGTTTATAGACAGTTCAACATTGAGTTTAAAGGCAGTGTTATTGCATATTGTAAATATTTTACCATCTCTTCCTGTAGGGTATGCAGTTCACATGAAAGAATCATATGACAATATGAAGTACCTATTGACGTGCATAAAATACGATGAGCACCAATGGCATATTTGTGGCGATTTGAAAGTTGTTGCACTTTTACTTGGGCTGCAGCTAGGCTACACAAAGTTTTGCTGTTTTTTGTGTGAATGGGACAGTCGGGCAAAGGGACTTCATTACACCAGACAAAACTGGCCTGTTCGTCAATTCCTAGAGCCAGGCCAAAAAAATGTACAGCATATGCCATTAGTAGATTCGAAAAAAAATTATTACCACCACTGCATATCAAGTTGGGCCTAATGAAAAACTTTGTCAAGGCATTAGATAGAGATGGGTCAGCTTTTCAATACCTGCGTCAGAAATTTCCAAGACTAAGTGAGGCAAAGGTTAAAGAAGGTATTTTTGTTGGGCCACAGATTCGAAATATTTTGAAAGATACACAGTTTGAAAACACTTTAACAGGTATTGAAAAAACTGCTTGGAATGATTTCCGTCCGGTGGTCACTAATATCTTGGGAAATAGAAAAGCTGACAACTATAAAACCCTTGTCAAAAATATGCTGTCATCGCATCAAAAGATGGGCTGTAATATGTCTCTTAAGATACATTTCCTACACTCACACCTGGACTTTTTTCCTGACAATTGCGGAGCCGTAAGTGATGAGCACGGCGAACGTTTTCATCAGGATATTTCAACAATGGAAAAAAGGTACCAGGGAAAGTGGAATCCTTCCATGCTTGCAGACTACTGTTGGACTCTTGGTAGAGATGCTCCAGAAACGATCCATAAAAGAACAGCAAAAAGACAGCGCATATAGTGATTCTTATAAGTATATGAATCTTGTTACTTTTTTTAATATATCCTTAAAAATAAAAAGTTTTTTTCTAAACCGCAACTAATTTTTTTATTTCATTGTCATTTTTGGATTCAGCGCCCCAAAATTAACAAAGAAGCGCACTTTTCCCACAAGGTACAATTAAAAACCTAAAATTTGTTATCAATGAATAATATTCTCAAGTCCAAAGTCATTTATTTCCGGTATAAACAAGAGTCGCAGCAGAGATGAGAACTGTGGTACCAAACACAAGAATAAAAATAGATACCGTAACTTGCTTTGGAAAGTGTTACATTATGGATTATTGAAAGTTCAAAAGGGTAACAAATACAAGCTTGTCTTCACGTATACCTCACGAAAGTTGACGGAACGGCGCTCCAAAAAATGTTACCACATCCACAGACGACACACAGGATGTTATAGACACCAGAGGCACCAGCAGAACTCGTAAGACGTCAAAAATAAACATTAGTAAACAGCGCGGCGTGCTCGCGACTTGGACCGTCAATGAGTCAACCGGTCGAACGCGTACACGAACTTTTATTACTCGCGAAACTAAACAAAATACCGCGTAGAAGGAATTGAAAAATATGCGCGCACTTTCCGTTCGAATCGCCTCTGCGAGAATTCAGTCTTGAATTCTGCCGTTTCTGTGAAGCTTCGGATGTGTAGTTTTCCTGATTGTACACCGAGACCGGCGACAAACACAAAATGCCTGAAACGGAGCCGACTTCATTAATCCAGCATTTTAACACGGGTGCTTAGCATGAGAAAGTAAATTTCTAAAAACTGAATCTCGGGCAGCAAAGACACAGTGGAGTCGAGCAGGTCCGCACACATTTCTGACTGGGACTCGTACCGTGAACCGAACTATTGTCAATGACATTTGAAGTGTTACATCTAGAAAAAATAATGTTTTCATCGTAGCATGTGGTAGTCTTACATCAAGAACGAAACGATAACATTCTCACGAAATTTTATTGAAAGTAATAAGAAAAAAAATAATAATGTTTTGGGCGACCCCACAGCTGGGGTTATAGTTATCTTCAGCGCCTATCTTGACGCTCCGTGGTACGCCTCTGTGGACCAGTTGGCCTTGTTCGTGTTCCTCTACCTTCTTCTATCCACACACGACACACACGCATTATCGTCACTGCAGTACAATTAACAAGGCGGTTAATTTCGTGATAGGACAAACCAACGTCTCGTTAGGCAATAATTCTACTACTGTCAAAGTCGCTAACATGACACCCGAACGTGTGAGGAGTACTCGAGGCTAGGTCTTATTTGGGCCCTGCATACGAGGGATGTCTTTTAAGTTTTGCATATAGAAACATAGTAGGCCGCGCGGATCGAACGACAGTACTGAATCTTAACCTCACTCTTAAGTAAACTTAAATTCAAAGTTTCACAACAATACGTGCAGCGTTCTCACTACAGTGTCACCAAGTCATTAGAAAAATGGAACTCGACCGAGAACATTTTCGCGCCATAATTTATTACAACTTTCAGAGACAATTATCGCAACAAGAAAGCCTTCCTGAGTTACTGTCTGTTTTCGGCAATGAAGCGCCACATCAGTCGACAATTTCCCGTTGGTATGGAGAATTCAAACGTGGCCGGGTGAGTCTTAGCGACGATCCCAGGGTGGATGCACCAAAAACGACAGTCACCCAGGAAAACGTCGATGGTATGCGCAAACTCATCATCAGAGATAACTCATCATTGAAGATAGAATTTTACATGAAGAATTAGGAGTAAGAAAATTAGTTTCTCGTTGGATACCCCACCTGTTGACTGAAGAGCAGAAAGCAGCGAGGGTTAATTGGTGTCAAAAAACAATTGATCCTCCACCAAGACAATGCAAGCTCGCATACAGCCCAAAAAACAAGGCAGTATTTAACGGAAGAAAACGTGTAATTACACTGATCAACAGCCAAAAAATATCCTAAATAAAATCAACAAAATATTACTATTTTTAATGTGCTAAAACCGGAATGAAACTTATTTTTTCAATATTAGTTCATGTTTTAGAGATACGGTAATTACATGTGTTCCTGCTGTGACAGTGTTAATATACTGTAATTCACAAGAATGCACGTGCTACATTTTTATATTCGGCAAGGAAAGATGATGTAATCGGCATGATTGTGTTACGTTATACATACGTGTACATTATATTGTTTTATATTAGCCATTTTTTCCTCAGTTGGCTAACAGCGTTCATGCAGATGTCTCGAAAGTGTGTAAACAATCCAGATCAGTTTTGTTACGTGTGTGGTGATGTGACTTTTGCGTCTCAAAGACGGTCTATTACTCCACTAAGTACAAAGGCATATCAGCTTTATTTCGGTTGTAAACTAGGTGATCAAGACAAACAGTGGGCACCCCACATCTGCTGTAATACATGTGCTTCAAGTCTGAGGAGCTGGTTAAATGGCAAAAAACGGTCTATGCGCTTTGCTGTCCCAATGGTTTGGAGAGAGCCTACAAATCATATTAATGTTTGTTACTTTTGCATGGTACCTTGTGTTGGACAAGCCACAGGTATGTCCAAGAAAAAAAAATCGGTTATTAACTACCCAAACATACCATCTGCAATGAGACCTGTGCCTCACAGTGACGAAAATCCTATTCCAAAACCCCCAGAATCCTACACTTGCGAATCAGAAAACGAATCAGATCATGGCGATCGAGTGATTCGTCAGGAAGAAGATATACCATCAACGTCAAGAGATCCTGATTTTATACCGAGCACGTCATGCCACCAACCGCACAAAATAACACAGTCAGAATTAAATGATCTTGTAAGAGATTTAGAACTTCCAAAATGTAAGGCAGAGTTACTTGGATCAAGACTGCAGCAGTGGAACTGGTTAGAAGACGATGTTTCGGTATGTGTTTTTCGTAAACGCCACAAAGATTTAGAACCATTTTTCAAAATGGAGAATAACTTGGTTTTCTGCAGTAACATTAACGGCTTACTGGCGGTTTTAAATATAAACTATAACCCAGAAGAATGGAGATTGTTTATAGACAGTTCAACATTGAGTTTAAAGGCAGTGTTACTGCATATTGGAAATATTTTACCATCTCTTCCTGTAGGGTATGCAGTTCACATGAAAGAATCATATGACAATATGAAGTACCTATTGACATGCATAAAATACGATGAGCACCAATGGCATATTTGTGGCGATTTGAAAGTTGTTGCACTTTTACTTGGGCTGCAGCTAGGCTACACAAAGTTTTGCTGTTGTTTGTGTGAATGGGACAGTCGGGCAAAGGCACTTCACTACACCAGACAAAACTGGCCTGTTCGTCAATTCCTAGAGCCAGGTCAGAAAAATGTACAGCATATGCCATTAGTAGATTCGAAAAAAAATTTATATATAATATATTATTATATATCAAGTTGGGCCTAATGAAAAACTTTGTCAAGGCATTAGATAGAGATGGGTCAGCTTTTCAATACCTGCGTCAGAAATTTCCAAGACTAAGTGAGGCAAAGGTTAAAGAAGGTCCAGAAACGATCCATAAAAGAACAGCAAAAAGACAGCGCATATAGTGATTCTTATAAGTATATGAATCTTGTTACTTTTTTTAATATATCCTTAAATAAAAGGTTTTTTTTCTAAACCGCAACTAATTTTTTATTTCATTGTCATTTTTGGATTCAGCGCCCCAAAATTAACAAAGAAGTGCACTTTTCCCACAAGATACAATTAAAAAACTAAAAGTTGTTGTCCAGTGTTATTGGACCATCTCCTCCATATAGTCCCGATCTAAGTCCTAACGATTTCTTTACTTTCCCGAAAATTAAAAACAGACTGCGTGGTCAAAGGTTCCAGTCACCAGAAGAAGCAGTTGACGCATTCAAAAACGCCGTTTTGGATCTGCATGCAGATGTGTATTAATCTTCGTGGAGAATGCTTGAAAAAACAATAAGTCATTTAAAACTACCTACCGTGTTGTTTTATTTCCATATGCAAAACTTAAAAGACATCCCTCGTAGAGTGACGAGATCATGCGGAGAAAAGTACTATAGAGCTGTGTTCGCACCAGATCAAGTTCTCGTTGATCTGAACTCCGACTATCTGAAATGAACGGTTCTTTGGCAGAACTCGGCAATGCTGCAGATATCGGGCTTGTATGTTAAAGTGCTGACATCCGAGCAGCTGTTAATCGGATTCTGAGACATCCTGGGAGTTTATGAATGATGGATTTCTTCTTTTTATTCATCCACACCTACTAAGTTCCTCACACCAAACAAGTGACTATTCAAAATTATTGTATTATGTTTTCTACATCGTTATTTACTTTTTCTTATCACTATACCAGCAACGATTTATTTTTGTCCTCGATATTTGCAATCGTAATGTTTGGATTTGTTAAATAATGTAAATTACAAGATTAAGACTGCTATTTTATGACCTTTCCAAACATCAACTGAATAACTAGTCCAGGTAGTGTTTTCGAATCTGGTTGAAAAAATATTTTTTGCATAATCTTATTCGAAAAATACCCCTTTTAACGAAGCTACATGGCGTCAGGCCCAAAATTGTTAACAATCCTTGTTGAATGAATTCTTAAAATTATTTTTTAGCGCCGATCAGTGTTTTTTAGGCCTTCTGAACAAAATAGGTTTTTTAACAATTAAAAAATAAAACAAACTTCAAGGTCTTGAAATGCGGATTTTGTTGGCACATGTTTGAAGAACATTTAGGAACCTTGGCGTCATTAAAATTGCATATTTTGCATTTTTTTCAAATATCAAATCCCTTATATTTCAAAAACTATCAGCTTAAAGACAAAAGTCATTAAGTACCGTTTTTGTTCAGAATGTCCTAAAAAAAGTAACGTTGGAGCGACAAAAAAAACAATTTTGGAATTTGTTAAAAAAAATGTACGATTTTTGACGCGATTTTGGGCTTGGCAACATGCATACTCATTAAAAGACGTCCTTTCTAAATAAGATAAAGCAAATAATTCGAATCAGAATATTTTTCCGGGTAGATTCGAAGATACTTCCTGTACTAAATGTCGCGCAACATGTTTGTATTAAGGCATAGTTCGCAGGGGTATGCCGTGGCGGTGACTTGATTATTTGAACGTAGAAAAAATAGACGTAAGTAGATTGACTCTGCACTTCCCATGCAATACCGTCATCAGTCCACAAAGGGAGAAAAGCACTTCTTAGCCCTAAAAAAATAGCCTAGCTCTTTCCCAGCAGCCGCGGCTATTGACGAGATGTGTTCATGTCAGATCAAGTCGTCTGTGATATACTTTTTTTTCCAGCTCACCGGCAGAGATCGGCTTGTCACTCTGAATGACTGCATGTAGAGTGCTGTCATCCGCATGAGCCTCACCATAAGACTGGATGAGTTTACTCCACAATCGACCAGAACCTTTGTTGACCTCGAGAGAGAATAGCACCAATTTTACGGTGGCTATGGCTATAACATTTAGATTTACTCTATAGTTGTAGGTATTTTCTGTCATCTACAGTGGTTTGTGAAATTCTCGTCAACTTCCAAAGATTTTCAACTGTTTAAAGGTTTGTTGTTTAAAAAAAATAACAAATCTACCCTGAGTTCACAAATGCACTTTTTGTAGGGGATAACTGTTATACTAAGTGACATATAAATCCGGAAACCCAGCTTAAATGGTTTTATTTTAATAAAATTTTGTATAAGTATAATATAGTATATATATATATATATATATATAAATTTCAAAATGATTGCACTGCTTTAAAGCCCTTTGACCTTTAAAAATGTGTGGATGCACCCTGATGTGCTACGCATTCTCCAACGCACCTAGGCATGCTTCTGATCAGGTGGTCAATGTCCTCCTGTGGTATCTCATTCCAGGCAACCACCAACCCCTCTCGAAGTGCTTCTAGAGTCTGAGGAGGACGTTGCAAATTGAGCAATCTCCTACCCATCATATCCCACACGTGCTCAATTGGGGATAAGTCGGGAGATCTTGGTGGCCATGGTAACAATGTGACATCATTATGTTGAAAGAAGTCTATTGTGACTCTTGCAACATGTGGTCGGGCATTATCTTGTTGGAAAGTTGGATCTGCCATGGGTTCTAGAACTTCGTGGATATAACGCTGCGCGTTCATGTTACCTCTGATGAAGATTAAAGGTGACCTGGAACCATAAGCTATAGCACCCCAAACCATAACTGCAACAGTGTGATGAACATGTCTTTCAACAAAAAACTGTGGATTCCTCCTTTCACCACGTCGCCTTCTAACCCTGGCACGACCATCGTGCATGCCTAAACAAAATCGAGACTCGTCACTAAAGACAATACTGTTCCGTTCCTGATCCCAGAGTGACCGTTGTCTGCACCACTCAAGGCGATTACGTCGGTGTTCTCGAGTTAAAGGGAGGATCCAGTGTGACCGGTATGAAAACAAGCCAAAATTTCTCATTCGTCGGTAAACACTTCGCATGCCAATAGGTCTTCCGTGTTCTGCAAACCATTCATTTGCAATGGACCTGGTAGTGGAGAAACGGTCCCTTAAGGCCAATAATCTTAGGCGGCGATCTTCACGGTCTGTTGTTCTACGGCGGCGTCCAGTGCCCCTTGCTCTTTGCGTACGGCCTTCTCGAAGCCATGCCTGACAACACCTAACCACAGTGTCTACACTTCTTTGCACTATAACTGCAATTGTCCGAAAAGAAAGTCCAGCTTCCCGAAGTCCCACTATACGGCCCCTATCAAACTCACTGATTTGAAGAAATCGTACATGTCTCCGTACTCTAGGCATCGTAACCGATCGTAAAGGATGTCAAGAACCAAAATCCGAAAACGTTGATTCATTACTGCGGCTGAAATATTCATTTTTAGAGCGTTAGTGAATTAAAAAAAAGCAGTATAAAAACCGGAATGTCCAACTGATAAAGCTGAAAATTTTTTCACTTGTTATTTACAGTAAGATAAATACATTCACCAACTTTTATTAAAATAAAACCATTTAAACTGGGTGGTCGGATTTATATGTCACTTAGTATATTTATTATTTGGACTGAAAAATGTAAAAAAATCTAAAAGGGATACGCTGAAAAAATGTTGTAGATAGACGTTCTGATTACCCTCGTTATATGGTGTTTTGAAACAAAACACAGCTTAATTTGAAAAGTGAAATGACAAACTGAAAGGTTTGGCGTTTGCATTTAAAATTTGACATTTTTTGTCTCGAAAAGGTGTAAATCTATGTAAACAGAACACTTTTGCAACGTTACTTGTATAACATCACAGTATCTATTTATCCTAAAATCGAATGAGTGAAAACAAAGTGCGACAAGATTTTATTCAGAAAAGAAATCAAATCTATGAAAACACCGGGCATTATTTGGAACTGAACTCTTCCAAGTAGCGCGGTAAGTGTTACAAGTATTAAAGTAGTAGACTGAATTTCATAGGAACGAAAACATGATGATCAGATGATTAGGTTTGCACGATTTGGACTGTACTAGGGACTTGATACACGGTGGCGCATCGAAAACGAAACAGACGCATTTACTGGCATATCTCGTACTTATTTTAAATAGGAATTTAGTACATAGTTTGCGATTGAATTGACCAAACCTAGTTGCTAAAATAACTTGTAATGCTTTATTACATAAATTAACCAAGCTATATTCCACAACAGAAAGAGTTGAAATTATCGAAATATTTTTCGGAAATAATCGGTGCGCTAATAGAACAGCAGAAATATTTAATGAGCGACATGAAAACAGTAACGTGCATCGAAAATATGTTCTAGAACCTGTAGCTAAATTTCGGGAAACTGGGTCAGTCACCAATAAAAAACGCAACATCGAAAATCCCATAAGCAATAGAAGTGGGGATTTTTGGGCAAGTTTATGTAGATCCTACGTTAAGTACCCGCAAATTGGAGACTGTGTGTGGTGTTAATCGACGTATACTTTATCTGAAGTCACTTGAAATAGCATAAAAACCTTTGGTCGGCGCGTCCTTTGTAATTTCATTACGCATCATAGGCGTGCGGTCATTTATTTAGAACGATAATAATAATGTTTTTATATCACAATAAATGGATTTTACTATCTTCTTATTTTTTTGATTTGGGATAAAAAATACTTATATTGGGAGTTTATTTTATGTTGACTGAAAGTTAAGAAATGGAAAAATTACAGAATTCCAACGTTTGACATAGGCAAATATTTACATAGCAGGTAGGTATATAAAAAGGTATATAAAGACTTACATTATAGGTATTTATATATCATCCTCGCCTTCGGAGCTGTCGCTAGAGTCATCTTGTAGAGGAATTACAACGGGATTTACAGGAGGCAAAACACAATATTCATTTTTTTTTCAATAATATGCCTAGAACACAGCTTCCATAGGTCTGTGGCAGCAATATGAGATACTGCATCTCTTATTGTGGCCAATAGCGATTCACTTAATTGAGGGGTCTGATTATGTTTTCTTACTTTTTTTTTAAAGCAGCCCAGACCAACTCAATCGGGTTAAAAATGCAGTAATAGGGAGGTAGACGTAATACTTCATGGCCATTTTGCTGAAGCAGATTGTCAACAACATACTCTTTTTCAAATTTTTGTCTTTTAATAAGATCCAATAATATGGCTTTGGTTGATTTTTGTGGTATTTCCATTCCCTTATCCTTCATAAAATCAATAATGTCTTGATTTTTTGTGCCTGTATTCTGAATTTTGTTTTTCTGTCGGGAATGGTATGGCGCATTGTCCATAATAATCACTGAATTTGGGGAAATGTTTGGTATTAACTGCTGCTCTATCCACTTTTCAAATAAGTCGGAGGTCATGTCCTCATGATAGTCGGCACATGATTCTTTGATATTTTTGGCAGATAACAGCAAGGCATTAGGTATAAATCCATTTTCACTGCCAGCATGGAGAATAATGATTCGTTTTCCCCGGTTGCATGGTGCATTTAAAATGCACTTGTTGCTGTCGTCAACCCAGCCGTACTGCACAACATCATGGGTATCATACCACGTTTCATCCAGGTAAATCAGATTTCTTTTCTGCTCTCTATAGATTTTAACTTTGTGCAAAAAACTTGGCGCAATTCAACGATTCGAGACGACTCCATAATCACCATTCTTTTATCTAATTTTTTGTATTGAAAACCACACAGTTTTACAATACAGTGCAGTGAGTCTAAGCATTTGTAATTATAAAAATCTTCAGGATAATCTTTTAATTTAACCCGTATCATTTCCAACGTGGGCACCAAATTTTCTTTATAAAATCCGTATATTATACGACGAATATCTTCCTGAAAACCCACGTCTATTCTTTTTAATTTTTGCCCTATGCGCTTTCTGTGGAAGGAATGGTTGACTACATCTCCCCTTTTTGTAACCCGATAAATGGTAGACCGACTGATTTTTGTCAGGATACAAATTCTGTTTAAAATTTGATTTTGCGAGGAATCGTTTTTCAGACAATCATACATATTTAGGATTACTTTTTGGGTCTGTTCCTCTAAATCTTTATGAAAGAATTCTGCCTGCACAGGTTCATCAACCATCTCCTCGTGGCTTGGAGCATTTTCCCAAGGTCTCCAAAGAGCCATATTTAGGACACACAAGAACAATCAACACAACAATTAAATCAACAAGTAAACTGAGTATTCAAAAGTCAAAAACACACAAACTAATAAAATCTATGAAAAAACACGGACAGACTAAAGAAAACACGTTTATTCACCGCTACACGGCACTGGCTAAACTGTTTCAATTTTCAGTAGCCACCTGCACTTGTTCGGAGCTCTGAAATACACGCTTTCTCATTGGCTATGTCCACGCATAGGCGTGCTTTACTCCACGTGGACCGGTGAAACTGCCTTTGATCTTATACGGGGGATATTTGCTGCGAAATTTGGCGATTTTTGCAGCAACAGAGCGTGTTAAATATAGATGTATAAAACGCACCCGGTATTTCACAGTGTTTCAAGTGACTTCAGATAAAGTATATTTTTGGAAAAGATCAATGCCTCTAATTTCGCTATTCATTCGACCATACTGCATAGACATTCATGTTTCGTTGCTAGACAAAAAATGGCGGATGATGAGAAATCCCAAAGAAATTCGACCGACAAAGTAAAGATGGAAGATGAAACGAGTAGCTTGGATACTGTGAAGAAAGCAGAGCCGTCTGAAAACATATCTATTGTCAGATCATTGGAAGGCATAAGCGAGGAAATTCTGGAAAAGGTAAAACCAGCTTGTTTCAAACGGCCAATTGGCTACAAATTATTATTCTTTAGGTGCATGAAACCAAGCCTTCGTTAGAGAAAGTATACGATGGAAAGATCACCGTAGAGTCAAAAATCGCGCTAGAGAAGCATGAAATAGATAAAGAGAAGGTAAGGTTGATTTAACGATTCGGAGGTGGTTTTACCGGGGTAATGAAGCTTCATCCTCATGAGAATGTTTTTGTTTTTATGTTTTTTTTTCGGAAATCTTTGAGAAAAATACAGGGTGGCCCAACGAAACGGTCGCACCCCCCATGTGTGGCTATTCTGGTATATTTTGGGCAAAACTCTCGGACACGTCAGTTTTGAATTCTTGGAGGACGTATTTTCATTTATTACACTTTAAATTTTTAAATGGAAACCCCATTTTTTAATTTTTGGATGTTCCATGGTATCTTTGGTATAATCGATGTGAAGCTATTTGAGTTTATAATAAAATTCAAGAAAGGGTAGAAATAACAAAACTGTATTACCAAAATGGGAGCATTGCAAGAGCTACATATACTACTCAGGTGATAACAAGTCGCTTTAATCTTGCGTATTTAAGTAATCAACATAACGTTGATTAGAAAGTTTCGAAAAGCGAAGTACTTCCAGGGAGAGACGGAAAAAAAAGAATTTTCCCAAAATCGTTTCAATTTTTTCCTGACTTTATTTGTAGTGGGATTTCAAAATAAATTGGATATCACTTGTTCTCTACAAGATGGCATTATTAGAATTTCAATAAGACGTATCGTCTCTTGACCTCCAGGATCAACTTTCTTTGTTCTTATGCACACCATATTGGATTGTTGCACAGAAGAAGAGTTTTTCATTCCGATTCTAAAAATGTATAACACGTCATACATTGACGTTGTCAATCAGGGTTGAAAAAACATTTTTTTTTAAACAAAAATCATGTTCTTTTTTTTGTTTAAAACATTCAAATGTAGTCGAAAAAAACATGTTTAAAACAGTGTTTAATACATGTTTAAAACAGCAAAAAAAAATTGTAAAACTAATGCCTATGTAATCTAGCAACGTTAATGAAGTTTCTTGAAAGTGTTATTAGTATACTAAGTGACATATAAATCCGAACACCCAGTTTAAATGGTTTTATTTTAATAAAAGTTGGTGAATGTATTTATCTTACTGTAAATAACAAGTGAAAAAATTTTCAGCCTTATCAGTTGGACATTACGGTTTTTATACTGTTTTTTTTTAATTCACTAACGCTCCAAAAATGAATATTTCAACCGCAGTAAATAATCAACGTTGGCGGATTTTGGTTCTTGACATCCTTTACGATCGGTTACGATGCCTAGAGTACGGAGACCTGTACGATTTCGTCAACTTAGTGAGTTTGATAGGGGCCGTATAGTGAAAAGCTGGACTTTCTTTTCGGGCAATTGCAGTTAGAGTGCAAAGAAGTGTAGACTCTGTGGTTAGGTGTTGTCAGGCATGGCTTCAAGAAGGCCGTACGCAAAGAGCAAGGGGCACTGGACGCCGCCGTAGAACAACAGACCGTGAAGATCGCCGCCTAAGATTATTGGCCTTAAGGGGCCGTTTCTCCACTACCAGGTCCATTGCAAATGAATGGTTTGCAGAACACGGAAGACCTATTGGCATGCGAAGTGTTTACCGACGAATGAGAAGTTTTGGCTTGTTTTCATACCGGCCACACTGGGTCCTCCCTTTAACTCGAGAACACCGACGTAATCGCCTTGAGTGGTGCAGACAACGGTCACTCTGGGATCAGGAATGGAACAGTATTGTCTTTAGTGACGAGTCTCGATTTTGTTTAGGCATGCACGATGGTCGTGCCAGGGTTAGAAGGCGACGTGGTGAAAGGAGGAATCCACTGTTTTTTGTTGAAAGACATGTTCATCACACTGTTGAAGTTATGGTTTGGGGTGCTATAGCTTATGGTTCCAGGTCACCTTTAATCTTCATCAGAGGTAAAATGAACGCGCAGCGTTATATCGACGAAGTTCTAGAACCCCATCTTTTACCCTATCTTGACACCCTGGCAGATCCAACTTTCCAACAAGATAATGTTCGACCACATGTTGCAAGAGTCACAATAGACTTCTTTCAACATAATGATGTCACATTGTTACCATGGCCACCAAGATCTCCCGACTTATCCCCAATTGAGCACGTGTGGGATATGATGGGTAGGAGATTGCTCAATTTGCAACGTCCTCCTCAGACTCTAGAAGCACTTCGAGAGGAGTTGATGGTTGCCTTGAATGATATACCACAGGAGGACATTGACCACCTGATCAGAAGCATGCCTAGGCGCGTTGGAGAATGCGTAGCATATCAGGGTGCATCCACACATTATTAAAGGTCAACGGGCTTTAAAGCAGTGCAATCATTATGAAATTTTTATCATTTACTTATTATGCTTCATTAAGTACTTATACAAAATTTTATTAAAATAAAACCATTTAAACTGGGTGTTCGGATTTATATGTCACTTAGTATATTTTTGATCCAGCTCTATCAGAATACATTTCTAATTCAAAAGCGGACATCGGGGAAGTACCGTTTGCCTTTGGGTAATTTTTCGCGTTGCGATCTCCAGCAGTCAAAGTCGTAGCGTGGTGGTGTGTTTTGTGCATTAAAGATCGGAAAAAAAGAAAGGCATTGACAGGGAGGAGAAAGGATCCCGTGTGGAAATATTTTAAGGAGACTGATGCCAAAGCTGGCTCTAAAATAAAAGAGCAAAATGTTTAACCTCCAGTATGGATATAGTGCCACTGGTGGCTGGCATGCGTAAGCATATTAAAAATTGTACACAACAACGTAAACAAGGAAGTTTGTCAGAATAACAAAATATTCATATATCAGAGAGTTCTGATACCGACAATGATGATGTCTCTACCGGACCTATTTCCTCAAAGTAGCTTGGAGAATTGTGAAAAAGGTACATTTTTTACACTTGGACTTCCGTAAAAAGTAGTGAAAACTAAAAATTTATTCTATGTATATCTTCTACGATTTTATATTTTAAAAATATGGATTTAAGGATTTTTGTAAATAAGATGGGTTGTATACAAATTTAGAAATTTCATTTTGAATTTCTTAAAAAAAATAATGAAGATACATATATCCTTTCTTTGCAGAAATATGAAGTTTTACTTTAGTGAGGTTCATTTAAAATGAAGGTCCTCCATATTTTTGTGTATAAAATGTAGAAAAATGATTTAAAAAACTATGATATGAGGGAATGATTTTTACAACAATTTGATGCTGAATTTCAATAAAAAACATAAGTTAATTTATTAATAGATGTATTGAGATTTGTTTTATACTTTAGAGAGCTTAGATAGTCCTTATTCGCTTCGTACATCCTCGATTTTCATCCTTCTCTAAGAAATGAACAACATCGCCCTTAACTTTCAGCATTTTGGAGCTAATGGTTTGAGTACAGTTCTTTTTGTACGTATCGTTTTTGAAAAATGTTTCGATCTATATAGCAATTTGTATCTTTTGTATTTCAAGATTTTGTAATATTTTTGCTTCCAAGATATTCATAGATATTCTTGAGGTCCGTTGACAGTGCTTCTCCGAAAATGAGTCTTTTTCTTCCAACGTCAGGAACTTGAATATTCTTTAAAAGCGAAGACACTTTAGTTGCTGGAGAGTTTGGATCAGTATTTTTTGTTTTCAATCTCAAACACCTCTTCTTATATTTTTCGCTAAGCTTGACTGCGTTCCTTACTTTGTTTTCCAAACTTTTAATCTTCGCGTACAGAATAGTTCACCGCTTGCGCATTCTACGTCTATTGAGAGCAGACAAATTCTCTGCTCTGTGCTGTAAAGACGGTGCAGACGTTTCTTCGACTGTTCCCTGTAAATTTGTTTGTAATGTAACTCGCTTTTCCCTATAAACTTTACTATTCTTTTTCCATTATTTTCGTTTTTGGCTAGTTTGCACTCATAGAACTTATTGACTTAATTTGACCTCTTCTTTAAATACTTTAATCTTTCTTTTTCACGCAACGCTTCTAAAGACTCTTCATTAATTTACATTTGTTCTCGCCTCTTTCTGTCGTAATCCTTTTTTAATTTCTTTTTTTCTTCACTTAACTTCTTCATTTTTCCCATTCTTGATAAACGGATATCTATTACAATTGAAAACACATGCTATACAACCTGGAGTTAAACAATAACACCCAAACCACAATTTTATATATGCAAAAATCATTCCCTCATATATACTAAGTGACATACAAATCCGAACACCCAGTTTAAATGGTTTTATTTTAATAAAAGTTGGTGAATGTATTTATCTTACTGTAAATAACAAGTGAAAAAATTTTCAGCCTTATCAGTTGGACATTCCGGTTTTTATACTGCTTTTTTTAATTCACTAACGCTCTAAAAATGAATATTTCAGCCGCAGTAAAGAATCAACGTTAGCGGATTTTGGTTCTTGACATCCTTTACGATCGGTTACGATGCCCAGAGTACCGAGACCTGAACGATTTCGTCAACTTAGTGAGTTTGATAGGGGCCGTATAGTGGGACTTCGGGAAGCTGGACTTTCTTTTCGGGCAATTGCAGTTAGAGTGCAAAGAAGTGTAGACACTGTGGTTAGGTGTTGTCAGGCATGGCTTCGAGAAGGCCGTACGCAAAGAGCAAGGGGCACTGGACGCCGCCGTAGAACAACAGACCGTGAAGATCGCCGCCTAAGATTATTGGCCTTAAGGAACCGTTCCTCCACTACCAGGTCCATTGCAAATGAATGGTTTGCAGAACACGGAAGACCTATTGGCATGCGAAGTGTTTACCGACGAATGAGAATTTTTGGCTTGTTTTCATACCGGCCACACTGGGTCCTCCCTTGAACTCGAGAACACCGACGTAATCGCCTTGAGTGGTGCAGACAACGGTCACTCTGGGATCAGGAATGGAACAGTATTGTCTTTAGTGACGAGTCTTGATTTTGTTTAGGCATGCACGATGGTCGTGCCAGGGTTAGAAGGCGACGTGGTGAAAAGGGGAATCCACAGTTTTTTGTTGAAAGGCATGTTCATCACACTGTCGGAGTTATGGTTTGGGGTGCTATAGCTTATGGTTCCAGGTCACCTTTAATCTTTATCAGAGGTCACATGAACGCGCAGCGTTATATCCACGAAGTTCTAGAACCCCATCTTTTACCCTATCTTGACACCCTGGCAGATCCAACTTTCCAACAAGATAATGCCCGACCACATGTTGCAAGAGTCACAATAGACTTCTTTCAACATAATGATGTCACATTGTTACCATGGCCACCAAGATCTCCCGACTTATCCCCAATTGAGCACGTGTGGGATATGATGGGTAGGAGATTGTTCAATTTGAAACGTCTCCCTCAGACTCTAGAAGCACTTCGAGAGGAGTTGGTGTTTGCCTGGAATGAGATACCACAGGAGGACATGGACCACCTGATCAGAAGCATGCCTAGGCGCGTTGGAGAATGCGTAGCACATCAGGGTGCATCCACACATTATTATAGGTCAAAGGGATTTAAAGCAGTGCAATCATTTTGAAATTTTTATCATTTACTTATTATGCTTCATTAAGTACTTATACAAAATTTTATTAAAATAAAACCATTTAAACTGGGTGTTCGGATTTATATGTCACTTAGTATAATTTTCATTGCCTCACGTTCTAATCTAGTGAGGGGATGACCGTGAGGGAACGACGGATTTGCATAAACGACACCGTAACCAACAGTAGATCACCTCAAATTGATTTAGCATTTTGTGGATGCATTTTACTCCTCAAAACAAGGAAAAAATCGTTAAAACATTCGAACAGTATAATGACTTACCTTTTAATATAACCAGTACGGTAATGACACAGATAAATGTAATGTTCTAATTATTGAAATCCAATACTCTTTTGCACCAACTCTTTTCACTATTAAGAAATTCCGCCATGTTGACGTTATTAGCAGTATTGTCAAGTTTTAAAAAGATAACAGCTGCGTTTCAAAAATATCAAATGGTGTGACCACAAATGGAATATTTATAATGGGTGAGGGAATGATTTCATTTCAAGGGACATAGTTTAAATAGTTTTTTTTATATGCGTATTTATTTTTTAGCAATGAAAGCTTGACTATACAATCCATACTTATTACCAAATATTTTAGTAATATTCAATTTATAAGAATATGAACAGATTTGATTGTATATATTTTTTTATTATTAATTACAGACCCAGGGACGAGATGAGGGAATGACTTTTAGACTAATAAATTAATCGTATTTTTTTTTGTCAATATATTGTCTAAATTTTTCTTTTAAAATATTACTGTTGATACTTATTGATATATTATAAATGTTAAATTGACGATAAATCCATGCAACTTAGCATCAATGGCTCAGGGCATGAATTTTGAGATTTGCTGTGAAATACCCAAATACATGGTCATATTATATGATTATTCTGCTACTTGTAGTGTACTAGTATTAGAGTTCAATGCAGTTTATAAGTTCACTCGTTCGTTAAAAAACAAATTTTTTTCCACTAGTATCAGTTCCCTAGTTTCATATTTAATTAATTAATAAAAAATAGTCTATTTTTTAGCACCTATGTGTTTTAACCTATGGCCATTTTAGTTTCGTTTTGCAAAATGAAATCAATTTTAACCATACTTAAAAAAATATAAAAACAACTTGAATAATTCACAAACGACAAAAAACAGTGTATAAAACAAATATAAAACACTTTCATTGTTTTAAACACTTTGATTAAAACATAGCAACCCTGTTGTCAAACCTTAGTTATTTCAAAAAACTAATCAGAATTTCCTAGGTAGGCCTTGAAATTATCAGGTAGCCATTCGTTTCGCATGCCAGATTTATCACAAAATCACTTTTTCGACTTCATTTGAGGCGAACTTTCAAAATAAATTGACCATAAACTTTGTGTAAAACAATGTAGGGCCACAGTGAACACGAAGTCGTTTCAACTCCATCGTTGGACCCCAGCATGGCTACGGTAGGAGAAAGTCTCTCCCCAGCTACTTTTGAGAAAGGCATGAAAGCAGGATCTGAAAGGATCGTTCGCAATCAGAGTGATATTTTCTCGTTGAAGACACAAACTAGCGTCGAATCGTCCATATTCTCGGTGAACGGCTCGCCTTCCAGAAAGGTAGTAAGTGAATCAAACTGTTCCTCAATAACGTTTAAAAAATGACATCGAGCAGGTTAATCGAAATAAGATTTCACTAAGTACCAGAATCGAACGCTGCGAAAGTGAAAACAGCAAGCTGCATGTTGGAACTGTATCCCAGTTCTGCCGGATCACCACCCTGGCCGCTAGATGCCGCCGATTCTGGTGATATGGAGCCGTTCAAGTATTACGTGAGCACTATGGGGGGCGGGGGGGTCTTTGCTTTGCTTATTTTGGATGACATGTGGGGTAGGGGAGTCTAGATGATGATTACGTCATCGCTGGTTATTTACTTTTTTACACGAATGGCAACCCTCACATTGTAATGCATACGTTTAGTGAACAGCGCGCGGTAATTCCCCTACTCGCTTTAGAAACGAGTAGGGGAATTACCGCGCGGTGTTCACTTGTCTAAATTTCCTCTATCAGTGTATTGTTTCGTTTTGAAACTAAAGCGAGTAGACGTATTGTAAGCATAGTAAAGCAGGTTAAGATTTGTGTTACCATCGATTCCATTAGCCAAAGTTTAATGTTTAAATAAGATGTCGTTTCACATAGACAAATCCAAGTTATACCAAAAATTGTTTGAAAGTTTTAAAAAATCTCATACAAGTACGAAAGTACAAAATGTACAAAAGTTAGTTAACGAAGTGTGGCGAAATTACAAATTACAAGCAGAATCCGATAAGGAACTAGATATTGTATCTAAGAGAATCGAGGAAGAATTGCAAGCGACGACTAAGAATGAATCCAATCTACTAAATTTTTTTCTAAGGTGAGTGACGAAATCATTTTAGGTACTAGAAATATTAGAAATCGCCAAAAAGTTTCTCTTTACTGATTAGAAAATACTATGGCCTATCTCAAAGTATAGAGGTAATATTCATTATATTATAGATTTATTTCTTATGATTGATTCCGTCAATTGGTCACAAAGTACAGGATGTTAGTTTTATACATATATACAGAAAACTAACACCCTGTATCTTGTGACCGGAACGAATTGCTCGTTTAAACATATTAGATTTAAAGCCATAGGGTTTTGTATTTACCATATATATTGCCATACTTTGTACTTATGTAGCTTAATAAGAGAATCTTTAGCAGAAGCCATAGAAAGTTTTTATTTTTAGGCAACCTGTAAACCTGCACAAAAAACACAAATTATACAGTCAGCTTCAAATATTAAAAAAGAGGAAGAAGATAAAATACAACCAGGTAATGAATCACAACAGCAATGCGACATTAATGAAAATACAGATAAACAGAGACCAAAACCTTCTCAGGAGCTTTGAAAAATCAGATTGCTCTACTCGCAAAAAATCTGAATGCTTTGTATTCTGCCACAGATATACTATGCCAAGCCGTGCTGAAGTTGATAAACAGATCATTAAGTTGCGCGAGGAAATAAAAACAGCAAAACAGTCTAAACGGGAGGGTTCAAAACGCAGTTGCCCAGAAGAAACACAGGGATGGTATGAAAAGTTAGAAGATATTTGTCATGAAAATCCAGAAATAAAAAAAAATCTCTGAGGAACTCAGTGGGACGTCCTAATCTTGAAAGCAATCAACATTCACTATTGAAAACAAGCGCGGATATAGCTTTATTTGGGAGTGCAGCAGATGGTAGAAGACGAATGGCATCAATTCGCAGCGTAAAAACTCTTGATGAACTCACACAAGAATTACGTAAAATAGGATTTGACATTAGTCGCAGTGGGACATATCTTCGTTTGATTCCCAGAAAATCTAATTCTGCAGAGGGACGAAGACATGTATCGACAGTCCCTGTTAAGCTCATTCGGGCTCAAACTGATCACCACAAGAGCCACTTAGATAGCAAGTTTGCTGAAACATCAATCCATTATTTAGAGAACAAAGCATCCATACTTGGACCAGATCAAGTATTTTTCATATCTCAAGATGATAAAGCTCGAGTCCCTATTGGCGTAACTGCGGCAAATAAGCAAGTACCTCTTCTAATGCACCTGGAATATAGAATCAAATTGCCTGATCACGATTGGGTAATCGCTGGGCGTCATAAATTAATACCATCTGTTGCTGGTATCAAAATCACTTCCAATATGCTAGGACAACCGCAAGCCGTTGGATATTCTGGACCAACATACATCGCTATTCGATGTGGAAAGCATAGTTCATCTACTGCTAATACTCATGCTCAGGATTTCGAGACGCTTCTCGAACTTGAAGAGTTTCGACCATTAGCCAAAACTGACCATGGACTAGTAAAACCAGTGGTAATCATGATGGTTGATGGAGGGCCAGATGAAAATCCACGTTATCAAAAAGTCATACGGTTTGCTATACAACACTTTAAGCGACATGATCTCGATGCATTGTTTTTAGCTACCAATGCTCCTGGAAGAAGTGCGTACTACAGAGTAGAATGGCTCCTCTTAGTCGGAAACTGGCTTGTTTAATATTGCCTCATGACCATTTTGGGTCTCATTTGGATGAACGTGGCGTTACAATTGATGAACATTTAGAAAGATCTAATTTCGAATTTGCAGGAAGTGTATTAGCTGAAGTATGGAGTTCAATGGAAATTGATAACTATAATGTTACTGCAAAATTTGTTGGGGCAGGTGAACAAGATCTTCCTGATTTTCCAGACATTAAATAGTATTCAGAACATGTGCGTGAGAGCCAATACTTGCTTCAAATTGTAAAATGTAGAAACACAGAATGCTGTCGTCCAAGAAGTGGTCTATTTAGATTAGTAGACAATAGGTTTCTTCCACCACCTGTATAAGTAAAACAAATAGTTGATGACTTGGTTTTGGATGAAGGAGGGCAATTTCTTAATCTTCCAGTCAATTTAGCTCTACGCTTAAGTGCTTCACTCAAAGATTTCCTGCAAATGCCCTACGATTATTTTTGTCGAACATGCAAAACGTGTGGTCTTTATCATGTTTCCGTCAATTCACTAAATCGTCACATCGAAAATATCCATAAAAAAGTAAACACGCACACTGATAGGAGAGTTAGACCTGTAAGAGTCGCTGCTCGTCGTGCTAATGAACTGATGTGCATTATTCAAAATTTAGAGCACCATGATGTTGAATGGCTCGATGAGAACGACGTACACATTCCAAAATCCGATGAAAGCGAGCAAAGTCACAACACTGAGCAGCAATCGAAGCAATCCAATGTCATCGAAAACTTAGAATCATGGATTCGGGTTTCATGGACTGAAGACTGTTAATTTGAATTTAATATACGTACCAAAAATTTAAAATAAGTTTGTTATGTTAGTAAGCTATAATATTTTTGTCCTTTCCTCTATGTTTAATACAGTATCAGTAAAATATAATCTCTATCCTAAATCTATTTTCGTATTTTTCAAATCATAATTATAACGTTATAATGATAATATTAAAAAAACAATACATTAATTGACAAACGTTTACGTAAGCATGGGGGGAGGGGTATGAGCTTTGCTTACTTTTGCTGACAAGGGGGATGGGGTGGTAAATAATTGTAATAAATCTGCTTACGTAATACTTGAACGGCCCCTATAGTAGATAAACAATGATAAATTTGTGGGCATCCAGAAAAAGGTAGTTTTTGCCCTAAGAGCCTCTTAGATAGTGAAGTCCTGCTAACGGACTTTTATACGAAATCATAAGATTCTTTGACAAGGTTTGTACAGGGTGGCCGATATGTAACTGACTGGTTTGTATCTTGAACATTTGTGAAATGACATAATACACGTCCATTTTTTTCATCTTAATCTTTTATTGGAACTTATGTATGAAAAGATAATATCAAACAAATGTCCGGCTCTAGAAGCCTCGCAAACCTGACCCCTCTTTCGCTTTTTGGTAGATTTCGGGAGGAATATTTTCAATCGGCTCCGTAATATTGTTCTTCAGCTGCTCTACAGTATTTGGTTTGTTCGCATAAACCCTATTTTTCAAAAATGCCCATAAAAAAAAGTTAAATCCGGTGACCTTGGTGACCAGTTGATATCACCAAATCGAGAAACTATTATAAAATAATCCCGGAAATATTGTTCGCAAAATATTCATTGTTTCAATAGCTTTCCTGTTGGAACCACATCTTTTTTAGATTAAATTGTTGGGTTTGAGGAGTATTAATCTTTGACTTCAAACAAGCATACAAGATAAATCGGAAGAAAATGATCGAAGCTTTAAGATTAATGGGAATCGAAGAAAAACTTATTAGACTGATAACGATATTAATGAAGAAGACAGAAAATAAAGTCAAAATCAACAACGAGTTATCGGAGTCAGACAAGGAGACCCACTTTCATCAGTTCTGTTCAGAAAAGATTATAAGAGATGCGAAAACAAATAGAGAAGGATTACTTTATCGTAAGAAACTCCAATGCTTAGCATTCGCTGACGATTTAGTGATCATAACCAGAAGTAAGGAGGAATTATGCAAAGTGACGAAGAGGCTGGAAGACAAAGCACTGTCAGTGGGTTTGGATATTAACGAAGAAAAAACTAAGCATACTAAGTGACATATAAATCCGAACTCCCAGTTTAAATGGTTTTATTTTAATAAAATTTTGCATAAGTACTTAATGAAGCATAATAAGTAAATGATAAAAATTTCAAAATGATTGCACTGCTTTAAAGCCCTTTGACCTTTAATAATGTGTGGATGCACCCTGATGTGCTACGCATTCTCCAACGCGCCTAGGCATGCTTCTGATCAGGTGGTCAATGTCCTCCTGTGGTATCTCATTCCAGGCAACCACCAACTCCTCCCGAAATGCTTCTAGAGTCTGAGGAGGACGTTGCAAATTGAGCAATCTCCTACCCATCATATCCCACACGTGCTCAATTGGGGATAAGTCGGGAGATCTTGGTGGCCATGGTAACAATGTGACATCATTATGTTGAAAGAAGTCTATTGTGACTCTTGCAACATGTGGTCGGGCATTATCTTGTTGGAAAGTTGGATCTGCCAGGGTGTCAAGATCGGGTAAA